GCCTTCATCTACCCCAGGTCTTGGCTGGCATTGGCTCTCTGCTGGCACTCTCATCTTTGGCCCTGGAAGTGCCCCAGCTCCTCCTGTCTCCCACTCTGTGCTGCAGGAAGCCTGACACAGTGAAGCAGAAGAATGCCTTCCCACCCAACTTCATCCACTCCCTGGACTCCACACACATGATGCTCACAGCTCTGCACTGCCTCAGGTAGGGAGCAGGCAGACAGGGCTCTTCCCTGGCTCTGAGACTCAGTCTCCGCTGGGAGAGCGTCACTAGGGCAAGGCGTGCGACTTGGGAAAGAGGTTGCCCGGGTGGGTGGGTGTTTGGGCCTTCTGGCAGAGGAGGGATGAGAGGAGGCGGCAGGGCAGGGACAGGGAGATCGTAGGGTTAGCTGTCTTTCTCTGAAGATCTGCAGGTGCTGTGCAGGGACCTCCTTGCATGGTCCCTGCTTACGTCCCAGCAAGAGGGTCTCCATGGGGTAGGGGACATCACAGAGAGGGGGCTCTCAGCACTACTTCATGGCACATTCTACTGCCTCCCAGGCAGGGTCTGACCTTCGTCTCAGTCCACGATTGCTACTGGACTCACGCGCTCACTGTGGACGTCATGAACCAGGTAAAAGTGTCCTCCCAGGACCCTTGTGAGCAGGGATCTTGCTGATCTGTCCTCTGGGCACTTGCCAGTCCTTGCCTCCCCTGGGCTTTGCTCCATAGGCTGATTTATTTACCGAGGCGAGGTGAACTGGGGGTGCTTGCTGGCAGTTGCAGCTGATTTCCTGGTGCCACAGCCCCATCTCCTCCCACCCTCCAAGGAGGGTGTGAGGGAGAATCAGTGCCTATAACTCAGTGCTAAACACAGCACCTAGCGGGGTCAGTGCCTCTGTCCTGCCCTGGCCTCTTCCTCCTGGAGTGCTGTGAGGGCTGTTGTACAGTAGATTGAAAAACAGGGGTCGGCCTCTGCTTCCCACCTCCCTAGGCCGATTCCCTTCACCCTCGTCTGGCAGCCCCCCTTCCCATTCTTGCCCGCTGCCTTCCCTGCCCCTCACCTCTGACATGTCCTGGCTGAGAAGCACTGAGGGGAAGGAGGGGAAAACGCCTGTTAACCTGTGACTCACCATTGTTCCCTGGATCAGATCTGTCGGCAGCAATTTGTGGCACTGCACAGCGAGAAGATTCTGCAGGATCTGTCCAAGTTCATGCTGGAGAAGTACTGCAGGTATTCCTTGCCTGGTGGCAAACCCCCACCACTCTCCGTCCTACCCACACTGATTCCCTCTCCCGGGGGTGGTTGTGCCCAGATGCTCACGGGTTGTGTCATCTGCCTGGGAGTTGCTCTGGAAGGAAGTTGTGCTTCCTTCTTGACTGATGTGAAAAACAAGGTGTCTGCATCCTTTTGCCACAGAATTGGTAGGGTTTGGTGCTTGAATCCCTTGGTGGGCCTGGGGTGGGCCATGATGTCTGTGCCTCAGGTTCCCTGCTTTGAATGAGGCAGTACGGAGCAGTGAAGACACACATTGGGTTGGCCCAGTGTATGGCCCTCGGTTACCACCGCAGAGCCAGCCAGACAGCACAGACCGACCCGGTCCTGGGCAGGGTTTGTAGATGCCTCAGCACCTGCCTAGGGCTGCTGCAGCAGGGGCTGGGCTCCTGCTCCTGCTGCAGGGTGTGTAATGTGTTTTGGAAGAGCTGAATCCTGCACTGGGGAGCAGAGGAGGGTGCACCTTCTCCCAGAGCTCCCATGTTGGTTTTTTTTTTTTTTCTTTCCTTCTGGTTCATCCAGCCCCGGCAGAGAGACTAGAGACCTCTGGCAGAATAAACTGATGGAGCAGCTGTCGAATGTCCCCAAAACAGGTAGGAGGACAGGACAGGAACTGCAAAGCTCAGGAGCACTTTGGAGACAAGGGGAGTGAGGTGGGGAGTGGTCCCCAAAATCACTGAGGTCGTGTGGTATCTGAAGTTGGACGTAGCAAGGATCTGGCCAGCCATGCTAAAGCTGTCCCCTAAGATCAGGTTTTCCTGCCTGTGCTGTACTGCAGAGCCATGGGGCAGTGCCTTAAGATGTTCCCCTATAGCATCCCTGTGAGCGGTCCCCGCCTTCCCTGGAGCTGAGCCCCTGGGCTTTTCCTCAGGTTGACCCAGCTCATCCCATCCCCTGTCTTGTTCCCCTCCCATCTGTTTCCAACCACGCGGCGCTTGCCTGGAGGTGGGAGTGAGGCACTCGGCATGGTAATTGCCAGGATCTAGATGATATACATGCAATGGGATTAAGGCTATTAGCTTAACTCCTCCTAATCTCTTGGTCCTGCCTCTGCCAGACCATCTGGCTAACCTTTGTTCTGCCTTTGCAAAACGGAGCAGGCTGGTGCTCTGTGGCTGTTGAGCAGCTGCTGTGGTCAGCCCCAGAGGCAGCACAATCCAGTGGTAGGGATGGGTCCTACCCTGAGGCTGTGTGCTCCTTTCTTCCTTCCCTGCCTTGCTACTGTTACACTGTTCTGTCTTCCTCTTCCTACCACTGTCCTAGATAAATCTGGAGGGACATCAATTCCTGGAAAACCTCTAAGATCCCTGCTGTCTTGACCTACCCAGCAGCAGGGGCGAAGCTGAAGCAGGGCTCAGGGCAGCTTCTCTCCCAGTTGCTCCACCCTGCCCTGCCCCTGCTCTCCTGTGACCTCTCTCCCTCACTTCCCCCAGGTGAATTCAACCTGAAGAATGTCATGGATTCCACTTATTTCTTCAGCTGAGCCCTGGCAGCCAGTAGGGCCCTGGACTACCTCTGGACTGCCAGCTGCCCGAGAGGCTGTGGTAGGCACTGGCCCCTGAGGCTCCTCTGTCCTGTGTCTCACGGCGAAAGCGGGTACAGCTGCCAGCTGAGCAAAAGATATCTGCCCAACAGGGTGATGCTGGGGCAAACTGGGACTCTACTAGGAGCGCAGGAGCAGCCAGTGGGGGACAGGGTGTCTGCACTATTTGCTGTTATTGCCTGTGTCCCAGGCAAGAGGCGAGGGCATCGAGCTCTGGGGCGGCCTGCCTCTTTCTGCTGTGGGGTCAAAGGCGTGATGGTAGAGGGGGCTGGCTCCCCTCAGTCCTCACCCTGGCCTGCCCCTGCTGTGAGCTCCAGAGCTTGCCTGGCTCCTGCCTGTCCTGAGCTGCCCTCCCTCTCCATCCCTCTCCACCAGCAGGGCTCAGACCGCCTGGAGGGTTAGGCCTATGCCTGGAGGGGCAAGCACGGGGCCAGGGCTGCAGCTGGAGCCTCCTGCCCTTTCCTGGCTGTGGGGTGGGTGCTGCTCTCCTTGCCCTGTTCCTGCTGCTTGGCGCTACCACTGCTCTTGCTGTAGCGCAGCCTCTGCAGCTCCTGACTCATTTCCCGGGCTTGGTTTCAGTTTTGCTCACTGGGTCTCAGGCAGGGAAAACCACTAACAGGGGTGTGGAGGTGTACAATACTGTAAATAAAACATTTTTTGAAATACTAGATGGGAACTCTGTCCTTCTCAGCATCTTTGCCCAAAGTCTGTGGGGTGCCTCATCATCCTGGGCAGGTGGGACTGATGTCTCCCCCAGACTGCCACTGTTTTCGTGACTGCTTGTGGTCTAGTTATCCACAGGGGTCTAGCAGGAACAGAGACAAAACTTTCCTGCAGGACAGACTGGCTGGTGTAGCTGCAGTGGGAGCAGGGCTCTTGCAGGGGCTGGCCGCAGCTGCTTGGCCCTTGTGTTGCTACCTAGAAGACTCCTGGCTCACAGAGCATGGGGCTGTGTGTGTGTGTTCCAGCTCTTGCAGCAGTTGATGTTTAGGTTCCAGTTCACAGCCAACTCCCACCTCCTTCCCTGCTGCAGCCCTGTGGTGTCCAGCTCATGCTGGACAGGGGGGCATGGTGCTGCCAGCAAGGGGAAAGGTGCTGCGAGGAGGCTTTTTGCTTTGTTATTTTTCTGGCAGGGAAGCAGCTCCTCAAAGGACGAGGCTGCCTCCTGCAGCCCAGCCTGGGGCTGTGCCCGGTGGCAGGGCTCCCAGGGCTGGCGGAGGGGAGCGAGAGCATCCGGAGCCACAGCAGGGAAGGACGGTGGCAAAAGAGAAGCAGAGACGGAGTCGTGCGTAGCTCTGTCAGTGGCTGACGTTTATTGCACAGGAGGGGCTGGATGGAAAGGTGGATGCTTGGAGCAGGGCCCTGTCCCGCCGGCTGCACAGCTACAGGGCACTGGGCTGGCGCGTGGCCCCTCGCTCACGCTCGCTGCATACATTCGATGTGGAAGGCTCCAGAGGGCTCGGCAAAGGGGCATACGCGCGCACACCCCTGCGCACACGCAGGGCATGCTGGCGCACACAGTGTGTGCCTTCCCCAGCCTTAAAGCTGGGACCACCTGTGGGGCAGTGTCTGCTCATGGGGCAGCCCCAGGGCTTGGGTCTCCAGGGTCCAGCATCTGCCTCCATCCTAATGCCGACTATGGGCACATTGACCCCTCCAGCCCCAGGGTCAGGTTAGGGGAGAGCGTGTGTGTGGGGTGTTCGCAAGCCTCAGGGTGACTTCCTCAGGCCACCCAACTTACCTCCAGTCCTGGACCGTCACCCCTCACCTTGGGTCTGTGGGAGGGGAGGCAGGGGCACCACGCGCAGGCGCTGGGGCTGGCCAGCGTGCCCAAAGCCCCAGGGAGGCGTCCTGCGGATGCACACATACAGGTATGTATTCAGGTCATAGATATCATATACAGAGTTGATCACGGGGATGACGCAGCTGTGGCTTCTATGGGGCAGCCGGGGCGGCTGGGGGCAGCAGGGCTTTGCTGTGGGGAGCGGGAGATGGGGCCACACTTTGGTCAGAGGTGATGCAGCCGGGGGCTCAGTCCAGCACCCCAC